AAGTCTTGAAGTCCGCTGTTTCCCCCTTGTCTCACCATCACCGAGAGAGTAGATGCCTCTTTCGACTTCCAAAATAAATACAACTTTCATATTTTCATCATCATCAATATTCATCACAGAAGATAAAATTTTATTTAGATATAACTCATATATACATAGACATACTCATGTCAGTTTAGAAAAATAGGAAAAGATTAAATTTGATTTATATATATTTATATCTCATATCTAAATCTTTAGTCTCAAACTCGAAAGTTGAGTTGTGTCATTCAACTATTATTTCAACTACTCAACTGTTTCGTTCAACTATTCAGTTAATCAATTATTCAACTTTTCATTTATTCAATTGTTTAACGTTTCAAGTCTGCGACCCTGGCGGGTCGTGGCAGCTTCCTACAGGGTCGCGCCTCTGACCCTTCGTGACACCCTCATGCAAGGTCGTGCCCCTGGTCCTTTGCGGCACCCTCATACAGGGCCGTGCCTCGGTCTTTCGCGGCACCCTCATGCAGGACCGTGCCACTTCGCCCTCGTGGCATCCTCATGCAGGTCCAATACTTGAATAGTGGATTACTTGAATTCAAATTTCAAATATTACATATATGATTTAAATAGATATAGTTTTGTTCGTTTAGGTAAAAAGGACTATGGGTATCAAAATGTTAATTATGTATAAATAAAATTTAACCTTTTCCTTTTTTCTTAAACTGACATGAATATGCCTATGTATATATGAGTTATATCTAGATAAACTTTTATCTTTTGCTTATTCTGTGTGATTAAGAGGAAAGTGTCGTATGATTTTTCTTTTATTTTCGAATTGATGCTGTATACTGAGTGTTGATTTATATTCGAAGTTGAAAGAGGCAGCTCATGCACCGAGAGAGATGCCCTGTGTTTGTGTTTCTGTGGCATGCTCTATAAGAAAGTCCTCTGGTTTCCAAGAAAATCGTTTAAAGCATTATCGACATATGTGTCTTAATTCGAATTATAAATTTATAATTCAGACAAAGTTTATCTTTTGCTTTTTTGCCAGACTTATATAGAAGTCTTAATTCGAATTATAAATTTGTAAGTCGATAAAATTTACCTTTTGCTTTTGCTGTAATCAGGAGCTGTCGCAATTTTTTTAGTTATTTTCGAAGTAATGTTATGCAGTTGAAGCTTCATTTATATTTGAACTTGAATTAGGCATCTCATGGTTTATTTTTTATGAACATTAAAATTATTATTTTGGTCATATATTCATGGAAAAAATTTCTATGGTATTATTGATGAATCAAATATTTGAAAAATTATTAATATTTATTCAATTGATGTTAAAATGACACCAACAATATCATCAACAACCCAGTGAAAAATATTTATCAAAAAGAACGACAAAGAACGCGTTCCAATTTTGTAAAAAGTGTTTTTTAAGAAAAAAAACGTTTGCTTATAATAGTGGAATCCGTTCCAAAATGGAACGGTCAAGAACACATTCTCATTCTTAAGGAACGCTTTCTTTTCTTAAAAAAAAGGGCTTTCACGTTCTCGGAACGCGTTCTTGGTCGTTACAATTTAAAATGATGAAAAACGCGTTCCTAGATCAGCTTTTCCTATGAGAACCCTCGAAGAGTTCCGAATGATTGATAAAACCTCTTACGAACCCTTGAGAAGCCAGGCAAAAAGGTGAGAAATACCTGTAGACTGCCTAAGAACTTCCTAGGCAGTCTACAGATATTTCTCACCTTTTTGCCTGGCTCCTCAAGGATTCCTAAGATGTTTTATCAATCATCCGGAACTCTCTGAGGGTTCTCATAGGAAAAGCTAATCTAGGTGCCACTTTTCCACGAAAGAATTTAAGAAGGGATTTATTAGATTTCTGCATTCTTACAGAAACCCTTAACAAAGATAATCGGGGCTTCACTCAATCGTCGGACAAGATCCATGTACCCTATCTGAGAAGCATATCTTCATCTAAAACAAAGTCAACAGAGAAAACATTTCTCAATTTACTCAGTTTGAAATCATTGACTACTGTATATAACTACACTCCATAAAAAAACTGATTGCTTCTATTAAGATGGAATAAAGCTAAAGACGAACTAACTCTATCTTTATTAGATTGGAAAATGATTATTTTCATTAGAATGATATAAAATTAAAGAAAAACTATCTCTATCTCTACCAGATGCGAAAAATGATTGTTTTTATTAAGATGGAATGAAAAATAAAGAAAAACTAACTCTATCTCTATTAAATGAAAAAATATGATTATTTCATTAGAATGAAATAAGATTAAAGGAAAACTATCTCTATCTCTACTAGATGGGAAAAATGATCGTTTTCATTAAGATGGAGTGAAAAATAAAGAAAAACTATCTGTATCTCTACTAGGTGGAAAAAATATGATTATTTTCATTAGAATGAAATAAAATTAAAGGAAAACTATCTCTATCTCTACTAGATGCGAAAATGATTGTTTTTATTAAGATGGAATGAAAAATAAAGAAAACCTAACTCTATCTCTACTAGATAAAATAAATGACTACTTTTATTACAATGGAATAAAAAAGCAAAAGAAAACTAATGGCAAAGTATACAGATTCGTCAATCATTTTATTTAGTTTTATTCAAAAACAATAGTGAAGCTTTCCATC